TCGATTAGCTAATGTTTCTTCATCAATGGTTCCTGTAATAACATCTTTTTCTTCATTTAATTCATCAATAAATGATCGAATAGTATTCATAAATGGAATAGTATCGGTAGTTTTATTTTCAACATTGGATGATACATCAATATCTGCATTATTATTGACCACAGCTGCTATTTCAGTTTCATCGATATCGATAAAGACGTCATCATCTAAATAATCGAATTCTGAAGATGATGATCTTGTTAATTGATGAAATAGTCGACTAAGAAAACCCATTGTTTTTTCAGGATTTTTTTTATTGAGATGAACATTTTCATTTAGTTGAAATATGTCAAATATTTGTTTTTTTTCGACTGTGTCTTTCTTTTTTTGCTCTTGTTTTTGAATAACTTGGTTAGATAATAATGACACTTGATTTTCTATTTCTGTATCTAACTGATTATTTGTTTTAAAGTAAAGATCATCAGATGAAATTATATTTGAAGACAAATCTTTTGATGTCGACAAATGATGAGACACATCATTTTTTTCTATAGGTGATGTACTCTAAATGAGATAATCAATCAATGATAAACAAAAAAGAAATGTTTTATTGAATATTCACCGTCCAAAATTCAGCTTCATCATCAGTTATCCAAGCCAAGGTTTCAATTTGCATATTTCTATTGGTGACTGTCATTATTTACGCTGGTGTCGATAGAAATCAGTTAGTATATATATTTTGCACGCGCCACTTCACACACACTTAGCCTTTGAAAATTAAAATCATTTTTTTTTTCGTTCTGCTTGCGTTGCATTAGAGACATAAATATTTATTTACTTTTTCTCATATTACTGAATCAATACCAAAGAATATTTTTATCGGTTCTTTACATCCGAGCATATATGCTAATTATTTTTTGTAATGTTCAATCCATTTTCTCTCAATATTAACATATATAATAAAACATAAAATCAATTTTTTTGTTTAATATAAAAAAACACATTTATTTTAAAGGTTAGTCAGCAATTTGTGGGCATTTATAGATTGTAGCTCGTAAAATAAATTGTTTTCGAGAAAGTTCTCTAACATGCTAAAAGAAAAAAAAACTAATAAAAATCTAGTTAAAGAACAAAAAAAGAAAACAAACTTTTAAATAAGTATCTAATCCAACAGATTTTCTTCGAAGTCCATCAGCAAGATAATATAATAAATCTTGAATAGCATGTTCTTCAGCATAACCTTGTAAAAGTCTTTTAAAAAAGAAAAGAACAAATAAATAAAATAAGAAAATAAAAATGGTTAACTGTTTATAAACAGGTGCAGGAGTTATAAGAGCATCTTCTTTAATAGAGTTTCCTTTTCCTAATGATGAAGACATTTTTTGTGTAGCTTCTAACATTTCATTAGTTTTTGCTTGTAAATTT